AGTACACATAGTTCAATGTAATAGCCAAAGAATAGCTTTTCTACAGATTTTTGGTTTAAGAGGACAAATTTCTCTGAATTCTGATATGAATGAAAACTCTTTCTCATGTCAGGTACCCCCAAATGCTTTCACAAATCTTTTTGACTTCTCCAAAACCTCCTTCTTATTGTCCTCTCTGGTGGACGATGGCCCTCTATGTGCTCATGGGCATGTAGTTTATGAAAGATGTGGATTTTAAGCACATCTTTCTTTCCTAGCATGTTATGAGAATATTGTCATCAGTAACTCAATACTACCAAAATAAAGCCAAAAGCTGTGTGCCTTGTGAGCATTGAATTTAATGCAGCACGTAACTGAGTTCTTCTGTCAAACCTGATCTGCTAACTCCGAGTGAACTTGGAGGAAAGAAAGGATGACTTGAAGAAAGTTTCAAATATGCACATAATTCATATATATTTCACATAGTAATACTATAGATATTGAAATATATGCAAAGTATTTTAACAGATGTGTAATCCTGACCTGTCTCAGGTCTGGTTGAATGATTGAAAAAGACACAGTATTGTTATAAAATAGAATCAGAGACAGCGATTGTAACTTCTGTACACATAATGCCTATGGGGTGGTAGAAAACTGAGTTATGGTTAAGAAGGGTGTAGGTGTTCTAGTATTTAGGTTTTTATTGTTTATCAGATATGACAAGGACAATAGACAAGGAGAGATGCTTTCCATTGAAAAGACAGTTCATTATATTCACATGATCCCTTCAAGCAATACCACCGAAAGCTGAGGGGAGAAGGCCACTCAGGGAAGCGATGAGATCAGTCAAGAGGGAGAGAGGGGAATGTAGGGGGAGGTCCTTTACTGTTGTTTCCCAGGAAAGGAATGGGAAGTAAAGAATCATCAAGTGTAGGACTGGCCAGATTGAATAATCTCAGTGAGCTCTGCTCTGGGAACTTGGGCTGTCTCTTGTTGCCTGCTACCTGGCTCTGGGTGATTAAGAAAATTAGACAGAGGTCTTGGGGTATAAGAGCTTGATAAAGGAGTCTATTAGGGTTGTGGGCACTTATTTGGTTGGTTTGCCTTTGAAAAGTGTGCTGATGGGCTCACAATAATCCCTAAAATAGACAAGTGGCACTATATCAGATTAAAAAGTTTCTGCACAGCAAAGGGCACAGTAATTAGTGTAAATCAACAACCCTCAGAATGGGAGAATGTTTTTGTAAACTATGCCTCAGATAAGGGACTGATACCCAGGATACACAGGGAACTCAAGCAGCTTATCACCCCAAAAAAATATTAACTCAATTAAAAGATGGGGAAATGAGCTAAACAAAAATCTCTCTAAGGAAGACATATGAACAGCCAAAAAGCATGAGGAAATGGTTAACATCTCTCATCAAAAGGGAGATGCAGATTAAAACCTCAATGAGATACCACCTAACCCCTGTCAGAATGGCCAAGATTAAAAATACAAAAAGTGGTAAGTGTTGGCAGGGTTGTAGTGAAAGGGGAGCTCTCCTCCACTGTTGGTGGGAATGCAAATTGGTCCAACCACTGTAAAAAACAATATGGTAGTTCCTTAAAAATCTACAAATAGAACTACCATTTGATCCAGTAATTCTATTCCTGGGTATCTATCCAAAGGACAGGAGAATGCTCAGTCAGAAAAGCACATGCACATCAATGTTAATCGCAGCATTATTCACGATTGCTAAGACGTGGAACCAACCCAAATGTCTACAAACAGATGAATGGATGGAAAAAGTGTGTCACGTATACTCTACAGAATACTATTTAGCCATAAAAAACACCAAGACCCTGGCATTTGATAGACACAAATCTACAAATAGAACTACCATTTGATCCAGTAATTCTATTCCTGGGTATCTATCCAAAGGACAGGAGAATGCTCAGTCAGAAAAGCACATGCACATCAATGTTAATCGCAGCATTATTCACGATTGCTAAGACGTGGAACCAACCCAAATGTCTACAAACAGATGAATGGATGGAAAAAGTGTGTCACGTATACTCTACAGAATACTATTTAGCCATAAAAAACAACAAGACCCTGGCATTTGATAGAAACTGGTCTAATATAAAAAATCTATTGCTGAGTGAAGCAAGCCAGGCTATGAAAGAAAGATATTGTATGTATCCGCTTAATATATACCAACTATCTGCATTCTATGGTAGAGAATATAAACCGACTATCCACACTGTATGGTAGAGATTGAAATATTGGAGGGCATAAAAACAGTGAAAATTGTTATGGACACTGAAGACAGTGTGGAATAAGGGGGAAGGAGGAAAGAGTATAGAGAAGGATAGAATGAGACCAAATAGGCATGACATTTGCGGGACACAGAAATGGTTTATTACTTGTTGATAATAACATGTATAGTATTTTCAACTGGACTGGTCTGAGAAGTATTTCATATTGGGTAAATTCTCTTTACAAGCCAAATGATATATAGGGATTGAATGTTTTAAAAAAATAATGAGAATAAATAATAATGATAATAATCTGAAAAAAATGAAAAGCTATTTGATGATGTAGATAGTCATGTCTTTGTCTTGACTGATATGCATGGTAATCATGCTGGAAAAAGAAATGTTATACACTGTAAAGGTACATGTGATTAAGTGTAATATAAAAATAATAATAATTTTAAAAAGTGTGCTGATGGGCACTTGTTTACTCTCTTTAGGAATCTATCAATACTTACTCTGGAAGTAGCAGGGCCTCAGAGTTCACAGGCCCTGTTGTAAATGAACCAGAACACAGAAAATGAAAGACGTGGCGAATTCATTAATTCATTGTGTTGTCTGGTAGAATCTCTGGGTGCCAGGAGCCACAAGTTCCTACCATAGCTGTCAGTAATTATCAATGTAATTTTAAAAGGTCACATCTCCAGCCTTTAATTTCACCACTGGTAAAATAAACATTATTCAACTAAATAAATCTTTAATACATTTTAAATATATATTTAGCACTCTTTTGAGTTATAATCATGTGATAAAAGGATATGCCTTATGATATTTTTGGAAGATAATAGGAAAAGACGTTAGATTATAAACCCCTGGGAAATTTAGTCTGATGCAAGAAAATTGGGTTTTAGAATTTTTGGGGGGAGGGTGTTGTTATTGTTGCTTTTTGTTTTTGTTGTTTAGAGAGCACATATATGCACATGAGAGAGAGAGAGAATGAGAGTACCTCTATAGCATTTTGTCATGTTGTGATCTCTCTTCTCCAGCCCTCCAGCTGGTCAGGATTGTGGGCACCCTTGTGCTCATGTTTTCAAGCCAACCAGGGTATCTCAACCTAGACTTACTTCAGTGGTACTGTCTTATTTTTGCTAATTCTGGACACAAGTAAACAGCACCTGCATTTTATCTTCTTATTATTCAGCTTTTATATAGCATCAAGGAAATGGAAAGCTCACTATAAAATTTGTAATCAAGAAATGTAAACAAAACTACAATAACCAGCCAGCCAATAAAGTGTTTTCCAGCAAAATACAAACCTAGATTTGAAATCATAAGATAGAATTTAGAAATGTTGTATCTAACCATATTAGGAAGGCCTTGTAAAACATATATACTTCCGCTATTTCTAAGTTTGGTAATAATCCTTCACTACTCTCTTTGCTCGTAAATGGAAAACCTTCTGACTAGATGATATTCAGCATCTTTATGTTTTAATTAATGTATAAGTACATTTTTAAATGGGAAAGATGGGAAAGTCTTCTCTCTTTGTGTGTGTGTGTGTGTGTGTGTGTGTGTGTGTGTGTGTGTTTAGTTTCAGGGAAAAATAGGTCACAAAACTGTATGTATGGTATTATCGTATTTTTGTAAGAACAAATAAATGTATTTAAATTCCCTCTAAAATATTTAGCCAAATATTGAGGAACCAGCAGTTAGCGTAATGGCTATGTTGCTGGACTCCCATGTAGTCGACCGCGGTTTGCGTCCTGGACTGGGTGACTTAAAACTCACACCGGGCGCATGTGCGTGCGTGCCCAAGATCCCGAGAGGATAATGGAGGAGAAGGGATTGCAGCGTGACCATCCTCCCTGGGGGGTGATTTCTCGCTTTCTGTCTCTCTGTCTCTCTCTGTCTGTCTGGCGAGCACACACACCCAATAGCAAAAGCCTCTCCAAAAAAAAAAAATTTAGCCAAATATTTACAAAGATTATCTTTCAGTCATGATTGTGGGTGATTTTAATTTTCTTGTTTATATATTTTTGTATCTTCTGAATCATTTGCAATGAATGTATATTTATTTTATACTGGGAGAAATGAAAGTTATTTCTATTTTATGGCACATATACTCCTATATCTTTAGGGATTTCTTGTGAAGATACTTTTGAACATTATAAAACTTAGGTCAAATGGAAAATGGTCACTTTCTTGTAGATATATATAGATCACTGTATAGATAATCCTCCCCTCCCTCAGGACCTCAGTCTCTAATTATTAAAACCTCGGGCATATAGGTAATATTTTTTGAGGAAAATTTCAAAAACTAATCTTAGTTCATTGAACATATCATCTCCCAAGTTCATTATGTGGTTGAAAAATGACACAACTTCCCTCCTTTAAAAAGCAGAATATTATCTCGTTGTGCATACAGAACACATATTTAATCTACTCATCTGTTTTTAAAAATTTACGCTCTTTCTGTACCTTAGTCGCTGTGAATAATGCTACAGTAAAAGTGAAAGTGCAGACCCAGCCATAGTGTCTCAGTAGGTAGCATGTCAGACATGATGCTGGTGGTCACATGGTGACTGTGGTTCAGATTTCTAGCCTGGGTGTCCTGAAACATGCTGGGCATGCTCGTAAGTGACCAGGGTCTGATGAATTGAAGGGCCAGAGGAACCCGAATCCTGTGCAGGCAGCTCCTTTCTCTCTATGCCAACAATAATAATAAATAATATGTTATTTATATTAATTAATCAATTAATTAATAATAAACAATATATTGTTTATAGAAATATGTGGCGCGCCCCCGCCCATCGAGTGGCCCAAGATGGCGCTGAGAGGAAGTGCCTTGAGAGCACATGAGGCAAACAACTTTGAGGAAGTACATTACCCGGAAGGCGTGATCACAACCACCCACCAATCCCTCCGCGCCCCTCCGTGCGTGGACAGTGCATGCGACCTATCAGGACTAGTTCCGCATACGTGAACAGTGCCCTGATTGGTGGGGACTCCTATTTAAGGGGACCGGGATGGGAAGAAGGGCGGAAGCAGCTGTACAATAAAGTCCTGATGAGAAGACTGTCTCCTGGTCGTTCCTGACGCGACACTGATGGCTTGCTTTCTCACTTTCCCTCTTTCTCTCTGGTCAAATGAAAATAAATGAATGAATACATATGTTGTGCCCCGGTTGTGAAATTCTCAAAAGACCACCAAGGAGCCAATTCTGATGCAAACACACAAGGGTCGCTTTCATTTGGGCTCGAGCCAGGACTCTCAATGTCACCGACAGAGCAGATTGAAAGATTGGAGTCGAGAGCCCTGGTGTTAGTTGGGCTGGGTTTTTTATGGCTGTTAGT